GTACGCGGGGCCTAGACATGCTTGAGGGTTGGTACCGCGGTCCTGGGGTGGCACTTGGGTGGGGAAAGCACTGGCAAAATTTCGGCGCCGGAGCTTGCTTAGGTGCCGAGTTGAAATATCCGGACAGACGCACACACACACACATACACACACACCGGGGTCGTCACAATATGCTTTTTTGCATTTGCATATTATGCAAAAACGCATAAAAACTCAGCAGCTGAGTGTGAACAGTGAAGCTGCAGATCTGAAAAAGCTCCGCGTTTGTGGTGCAAGCCTATCCAGTTGAATTATGACTTAAAGACCATGTTTCCCCACTTTCAATGCATCTAAGTTCACGTCCAGGGATATCTCACTCAAGCGGCTGCAAAGCTGTCTGGCATATTCATATTGAACTTACCTGAGAAAAGCTTTGGTGAGTCCGTGCGTAGGTACCACGCATACCCGGGGGCTGGGTTTGAGCTGAATGAGATTTAGGTGGACGGAGAACGTCCCCTAAAGGTTCCAGCTATCTAGCTTCTCAGATCCCCGGGTTATCAACTTGCCCGAAAAAAATTTTGGCGGGCCCGTACGCGGGTACCACGCATACCCGAAGCTGGGTTTGAGCTTATTAATACCTACTTGGACAGGGAACACCTTCTTAAGATTTCAGCTTTCTAGCTTTTCAGACCTCGAGTTATGAATTTGCTCGAAAAAATTTTTGGCGGGCTCGTATGTGGGTACCACGCATACCCGGGCTGGGTTTGAGCTCATTAATACCTACTTGGACGGGGAACATCCCTTTAAAATTTCAGCCCCCAAGCACTTCTGTTTTCCGAGTTAGCAGCTTACCCGTAAAAAACTTTGGCGGATTTTTACGCGGGTATGACCGCCCATTTTGGGGATGGGGGCCCGTACGTGCATGTAGATTAAGTTCCCAAAGTTTTAGCCCTGTAGCTTTTGTAGGTCTCGAGATGAAAAATCGGTAGAGAGGCCCTGCGCACACACAGACAACCTCTCATCAATATGCGTTTTCCGCATTGCATAGCTGCAAAAAAAGCATAAAAACGGGTGCATTTTGCGGATTTCGTCATCCTTTTCTCTCGACATCCTGCTCATTGTCCAATTTGCATTTCTCAATGAACGATCGATCACGGAAAATTATCCATTCCCCTTCACGCAAAATTTACGGTAATCGTGCGCACTGGCCTTTAACATTTAACGCAGCCCCATGACGCAAGACTACCGTCCTAGCCGATACCCTTTTCCCTACTTGCAAGGAGAACAAAACGTAGCCAACATAGCCATGACGGCACATGTTAAACTGCAAAGAGCAGTCCTTCATACTGTTAATGATCTAACTGCTTTAAGTTTAGCACAAAAATGCACGATCACACCAGCAAACCTGATGCGCCGCTATCTGAATTTAGATCCTGCGTTCGGTTAGCTTGAATCTGCGCTTTTTGGTAAAAATGTTCGTTCCACTGGCTAAAATTTCCGTCTCCCCACTAATTTCTGCTCCCTTCGTCTAGATTCTGCATATTTTTGATTAATTTCTGATCCTTTTGGCACAAAAATTTACGTTTTCTTTTTCCTATACTTCTAATTATTTGCCATAGCCGAATGAGGAAGACATCCCATTCCATTTTAACTTCTCGTATGTCTTCTTCGGTAAGCCAGTGGTTTCAGTTGCAGCTCTTGCGATTACTTTAAATTTCAGAATTCGCGAAATCGGGGGCTTTTCACGCGCTTTGCTAAACGTTGACCTCACCCGACAAAAGTATGTTCGAAATCGTTCTGCCCTTACCTCCACAACACTAACACTCTTTGCGTAGTGACAGAAGCAGCGGCATGCAACACCAAAATTTGAATTTTAAGTTTTTCGGATCTTTCACACGAATCCGTCAAAGTCAGACGGCGATTTTTTCCTACAGTGCAACTTACTTCAAGCATTGTGTGTGCTATCCTTCTCGACTGCCGACACGCTTCGCAAATGGAATTCAACGTCGTTAGATGCACATTCATTAAATTTCGAGCTTTTTTCAACTCATATTGACATTCCGACAATTGCTGTTGACATTCCATCAGCTCGTTGGTTACCTATCAGTTACTTTTTTATGTGAATCAAACAGCTTGAAAGATGTGAGATAACTTCATTTTCCTCTTCATGTCTTTTCCTTTACCCAAAGCACATTTAATACAAACGGATTCGTCCAGAGCGATCACTTTTAGTAGGTTTTTGAATACGCTCCTACACGTACTCTTTCAAATAGAAAGCAGTGCTATAAGAGTGTAAGATTCCATTTAAAGATCAGTAGTGTGACGCATAACACATTTGAAGAAAAAACTGTGTGCTCATTTCTCAAAAACAAGTTATGAAAGTAGTTTGGTTTTGGACCTGTGATTACAGAACAGCACACAAACGGAACTGAAGCTTAATTCCGCATTTAATGTCAGGTACGTGACAGGGAACAGTTAAGCCCTCAGTTTCGACAGCACTTGATATCTACGGACTATGTGGTCGCGTTATATAAATTAATCGAAATTAATCAATACCGCCCAGTTCAACAAGTTATGAAATGTTTAAGGCTAAACTTAAACACCTGGAATGCTCGGCCAAGAAATAAGATTTAAAAAGTCTCAGTTGAAATCTGAAGAAAGAAATCCAATCCAGAAAACGTTTGAAACATTTAACTGTGTCCTTCTCGCCACCCAAACAACGCACTAACGTGTATCCGTTTGCTCCCACGACTCAGTTATAAAATGTGCAAGTCAGTGAAGGCCCAAATTCTTAGAATAAAGTTTCCTGTCACGTACCTGACATTAAATGCGAAATTAGGCTTCAGTTCCGTTTGTGTGCTGATTTGCAATCGCACGTCCAAAACCATACTGTCATTACTGAGAATCAAAAAAATTGCAGGTGTGGTCTACAAACTAGGACCAGTTTTTGAAACCGCTGTAAACTTATCAATGATTTAAAACCGGAAAACCGAAACTCAGGCTAATGTCATAAATCGAGAATGGAAAAACCCAGTACCCGAATATTGAGGTAATTATTCAAAAAAGTGTAGTGAAATTAGTTTCCAGACTCTACTGTAATCCGATCTACGGTCTGAAACTCCAATTCTGGCTAATTATAACACTTCAAAACGGCACAAGGTCCTAGCTGAAAATACCTGTTTTAGTTTAAAGAGTGAAGCGCTATGGAAAGCCCGAACCTGCTTTTCTAATTCTAACAGGTCCTGATCGACGACTACCTTCTCAAATATATGCTAATAAGATAAATGATTATTTACAGGTTTTTTCGATTACAGGCTTTTGTTATTGAGATTTTGGTAAATTATAAGCGCTAGATGAGTTTAAAGATAATCGGCGCGAAATACAACGAAATCTAGATGCTCTGTATTTTCAATCTACCTCACTTCCAGCTTGTTCAAAACAACTTATTAAAAAATTTTTGATTCGTGCGAACCTTAAAGTGCACCGCGCAATAAATGCAATTCTTTTTCGTAATTTTAAAAACCATGAAATGGCGAAATGAAACCTGCTTGGAATGCACTTCTGACTGGCCCCTTTCTCTACACGGGGAATTTGGCAGCGGTTTGACATCCTCATTGCATAGTAGAAATGTTCCACTAGTACGGTAGTGCTGTATCACGTTAAGCATCTTCTTTCGTGGACCAAATGCCTGAATCACGGGTCGACCAAAAAAAATTTGTAAAAAAGAGTAACCGATCTCAAGTCACAATTTATGCGCAGCTTTCAGCACAAAATATTTGTTCTCCACTGTTTTTGAAATTCCCCCAATTTCGTACAGAGTGCTGCTTGAGACTTGATACGCTCATATTCACCTTCATATTACCATTATCAGATAAAACCCGCTGCAACAAATTTTGTCTCGCGTTTTGAACAGAAAACTGTTAGCCCGCACTTATAATTCAAGCGTAATAAAAGTCGGAAATGCATATAAGGGATCAAACTCTTTCACTTCTAAGAGAAAGCGTGACGGTTAATTTTGGCATGGTTGCAGCACGGCAAGAACAGTAGTTGACCAAGGTGCGAATGCACGATCGCTCACACAGTACCATTCACTGCTTTCGTAGAATATTTAGCCAATTTGCAGTAACTGTGTTTACCCCAGTTATAACTTATCATCATCTGCGGCAGCTTAAGGCGAAGTGAGCAAATATATATAGCTTACTTTGATTCCGATTTCAGTCAAGTCAGCGTCATTTAGCTCCAGGAATAAATTCAAATCGATATTTTCATCTTCAAATGTCTCTATGTATTTCTCGAGTTTGAGTCGTGATAACAAATCCGTTAATGAATTTATTTCCACCGCTCTCTTTGTCAAGTCATTTTTGCTCCTTTTGTTCTGCAAATATTTGTTTCGCGTTTGCTAGTCATGAGGCCAGATAAATTGGGTCACAAGTTTACTTGGTATTACTGAACAAAGACATAGCATTGGTTGCGTTTTTATGCGGAACAGCAGGGAGTATTCATTCTTACTCTACAGAGTTCTCTCCATGGAATTTTGGTCCTGTAGCGTGTTTTTAAGATATTAATCAAGAAAATATGCCTACCGCTGGTGGATCTCTTAAAATAGCGATTGCTTTAGGGTTGTCAAATGCCAGTGCTTCGCCATCTTCGCCCCGAGCATTCTTTCGCTTCGCGTCACCGCCCTGCAACATTCCGAAACAAAAATTTGCCAAAATGTATTATGTTATTAATAGTAACCAAAGTACACTATGCTACGCACCAGCAGTGGACCAGTTATACAATTCTGTGGTAACAAGCTTCTAATTTACATCAGATAAGTGCCCGAAAACCTTTGAAATTTAGCTGTTCGCTAGGAAAACATCGAAATATCCGAAATTTTGCTTGCTTTATCCCTTGCCTTATGATCTCAGCTAGTATTCGGATGCAAGATGACAAGCCAAACAAAAAGATTTGATAACAGGTAGTGAGTTATTCAGCCCGCAGTATGTGCTGAGCTAAACCGGAGAATGATAAACCTATAGCCTGTGGTATTTTAAGATTTTAAAATCAGCCTCAATTTTGTAAAAAACAGGGCGCTAAAAGCTGATGCAGGCTAATGGACGTCGCGTCACATCGTGATATAAGAGCAAAAAATTTTTTCGAGCCTTTAGCATACATTTTTTTTTTTTTGCATTTATAAAATTAGTAGAAAATTTTAATGTAAAGTCAGATCAGGAGCTATGAGCTGATCTTAGGTTTGTAACGCCGCACATTCGGAAAGCATGCTCCCAAAATTTTTTCTTCCTAGCTTTTGCAGTGCTGAAATTGATTTGTTCAGACACAGAGCACACAAACATGCGTACGCGCTTTTTAAGCAAAAACATGTAAATACGGACAAGGCTGCACTTGCAAAAGTATGTGCATGTTCTAACTCTAATCAAAATATGGAAGTCTCGAAATTTTGAAAAGTACAGCGCTCTCTTACCCATCTCCTTCACCAGCACCCCCTCTTCCTCCCTTCCTATTCACAAGCGCGGAGAAACAAAATCAATTATCAGTTCATACATCTCCTAACTGGAACTACATAAACGATTTGACATCCTCATATCTAAGTTATTTCACATCCTTGTCATGTAAAATTGTGTCCTACGCTACTTTCTTCAGTCGGATCTGGGACGTTTGTCTTTGGCTCCCAGGAACAACCCGTGCTTCATCAATAAAGATGCAAGGGGAAAAAAAAGCCCTTCAAA